AAATATAAGATAGAATATAAGTTTTGTGTATCAAAGATTTATTCTATTTAAAGATTTTATCTGGAAAGATGTCAGTTGAACGGACAAAATGCACTCAAGAGGTTTTTATCGTAGCCGGCAATAAAATATCTCTAGCTGCTCCCCTAGCTGATTGGCACTAAATGTTTCACAGTACTAATATCGTTAGCCTTTCTTGTTTATCTAATTCAGTTCGATAAAATAATCTATCAGGAACGTAGACTTGCTAAATACTTGAAATACTATTAATATGTGGATTAACTTTATAATTAGTTATTCTAAAATGATTGACTAAAATAATACCTTTTCTTTAGATTCTAGCGCAGTTTGCGCCGTTTTATCACATTCAAGTGTATAAGACTTATTTCTAGCATTTGAACACCGTAGCAAACAAAGCTACGATGTTTTAATCCACGATTCTAAAAAAAGTCGTCCGTGGACCTACGGCGTAGCAAAGCGCTACGGCGTAGCAACCTCAAATACGAAAATTGTTATGTATAATTTCATTTTGAATCTGTAACATTAAAAGCTGTTATTATGAAACATTAACATCATGTAGCTTTAGCCTTTATTTTATAAGAACAGAAAATAAAGGTTTAGCCTTGAGTGATTGTTGAAATATAGAATTAAATTTTATGAGTAGTTTCATTTCGGTACAGGGAGACTTTTAAACTAAGGTTCGGTAAATTAATATGTTTTGTGACAAGTAACATTAATTGAACAAACATATTTTGTAAAAATATATTGAAGTAGATCATAAGACATCTATAGGTTAATGTGATTTACCACTATTTATGAAACTGAGAAATGATAACTCTAACAATGAATAAAAAAATAATATGGAAGTAGTTTCTATTCAAAGACACACGGAATACACCTATTACAATATAACGAAGGCAATATTTTGGTTGCTCCTGTATATGTACAGTTGTATACGTGTTATCCAGTTTCTAATAAACATTAAGCCCCGCGAAAGCGAGAACACACAACCTCTCATCTGTCTTGGTTGAAGCACTTAAGCTCGATCTATTAACGCCCTTGTAATTTTCAATACTATAAATCGTGGAACATCGTATTATATGTCTGGCGTTGATAGCCAAATCTAATTGTTATTGCTTACCTTGTTTCGTATGACGTCACTCGGTAACCGAAAACCTCGAAACATTTTAGCGCGATTCGATTATCCATACTAATGTTATAAATGTAAGACTGTCTGTCTCTTTGTTTGTCCATCTTTTATGGCAGAACGGAGCGATACATCGACGTGAATTTTTAAGTGAATATAGTTAAAAGAATGTAGAGTGATATAGGCCATTTTTGGTCTCGTTCTAATTCCTCCTAAAATAAGGGATGGAAATTTTTATGGAACATTGTTACAATATTTAAGTTAGAAAATATAAAATTGGTATGCAGGGTTTTAGTCTATATGCTAGCTAAGGAGGAGGCGGAGCGCGTGAGGGAACGAACCTCCTCACGACCCGGCCGTCGCGAGAGACACTCCGGGCGTCGGGGATCGCGAGACGATCTCCGGCCACCGTAAGCACGGGCCTGCGGACGGCGAGCACGGGTGACTCGCCGCCCGACCAGAACCAGGCCCGAGCGTACGGCGCGTCGCGTTCCGCGCGCGCCTCAAGGAGCCATCAGACCACCACAGATGGGGCCTAACAGGGCTGATGCCGATACGGAGCCGCGGAAGACTTAACGGGTTGCCGGGGCTCCGGCTCGAAGTGCAGGAGTAGGAACGGGGTGGTTTTTAGTCAGTAAGAGTCTGACACTCCCTCCCGCCTCACCCGGGCGGGAGAAGTCATTGGATGATTTTCCCCCCTCAAAAAAAAAAAAAAAAAAAAAAGGGTTTTAGTCTATAATAAAAATTCATATGTAATATTCTTTTTAAATTTGATGCAACCTTTTAATAATTTCGAGCAAAGCCGCGGGCAAAAGCTCGTACCTCCATACGGAGGTAACATTTATTAATACGCAGAAACAATTAGTCTAGGGAGTGGGTAGGTAAACCCTATTCACTGTGATGCGATGGCCCGGTATTGGTCGGTTAAGCATAGGTCGGGTCGGTCGTTACTTGGGTGGGTGAACCTTTACCGTAGTACACATGATTTCTCTCCACCATGATTAATGTTAACCCGTACCTTTTAAAATACTTGAACAAGTTACGTAGTAAACCTGGAGCTCTCTCAGGAGCTTTATGTTCCCAGTTACAGTAATTTCTTCGCTTCTTTGCGTATTATATACGAAATAAAACAAAAGAGGGTCAGGACAGCTGATCCATGCTTTTCACATTTTAATTCGAGCAAGTACCTACCTACAAAATGTTTGTGGCCTGAACATATAGCCTCATGAGAAATAACTAAGTGGGTGTTTTAGTTAAAATTAGAAACGTTTATTTTTGCTCTTTTTATAGCCATAGGTAGCTGTAATATTAAAATGAGGCCTTCTAATAATACGGTTCTTTAATGTTACACGTACTAAAATAATTTACTTCTATTTGATTAAATATTTGAACTTCATGAGGTTTTCGTAAAGAATAAGCTAGGGTAGGTATTGTACTTCACAGTTTGTTTTGTTAGATAGTATGATTACATTTTAATGCAGACACAGTGGGTGCCTGTCTGTCTCTGTACACACAACTACAAACCAAGCTATAAAAACCAGCATATCATGGTGTCGCTTCATATAATCTTTCTCCACGATCAAGGGTCAGTTAGTACTGGTTATACATAACTTGATATGTAGACGTCGCGTCGCCGTCCAAACACGTGCACTGAAGTAGTTGACCGGTCCGCTCACCCTAATATGCGACGCGTCACTGAAAATGAACGCTGCCATTGCAATGTTGACGAAACCTGACGTTTACCAAACTTCAAACAAACACGAACAAATAAAGTTGATGCGTTTGCACTCCATCGTTTATTTAAACGGATTATTGATCAATTTTAAATACCCCTTTTAATCCCTATCCGTTTGATTGGAGTCGATAAGCTTTATGTACATTTAAACAATGTTTTATTTACGTTTGCAGAATTTGCAAGACTGGCGATGATGATATTTTTAAAAATATTCATACTTTACCTCTTGTATGGTATATGAGACACAATAGAAAACACGTTGTGTCTCGCTTAGATCTACGCTCTGGCACGCCACGAGTTAAACTATCAACACGCTACAAAAATTAAAAATATGTTTTAGATTGATTCCTAATTCAAAACTTTGATATTGAAATAATCAAATAATATGAATATAAAAGCAAAAAAAAAAACATTTTAATATCACAAAATTTAATCCTGGATACAACTTTAAATTAATTTGATAGTTATTATTGACTGGATATTGGAAAACTGACTAATAATATAAATGCGAAAGTTTGTAAGTGACACACATGCGTTTGTGTAAATGTTTGTTACTTAATCACGGCAAAACGGCTGAAGGGATCGGGATGAAATCTGAAATAGGAATACATTATAGGCTGGAGTAACACATAGGACTTTAATAAGTACTCTATTTTTGGGATAATTTCCACAGGAACACGCCGAAGATCGGGTAGTCGGAAAATAAAATACCAATCATTTGCTTTTTGTTAACAAATAATAAGATATTACAGAATGTGGTTTCTTCAAAGAAATTAAAATAAATTGTAAAGACCTCCATAGTTCCTCTTTATAGTTGTAGGCAATGGCAAATTGTCCCAAAATTCAATATTCGCGCCTTTTATTACTCTTGTTCTTAATTAACGTAAGTAAACAAAGTTCACTTATAACGTTTTAATTAGATTCTGAGCAACTTTATAAAACTTGTACTTCATAATTAATTTTCATCTACTTCTTATTAGAACGCTATTGTCTAGTATATCTAAGGTACAAATTACAACATATTCTTAGTATCTAAACAGGTATTCGTAACTGAAAGTAAATTGGGCTTTCTGTCTTTGTTATTAAGACTCCTTTGTGAATGAGGCCATAAAAAGCTTCGTAAGGTTTTTTTACAATTATGGTTGGAGCATTGAATCACCCAACACCATTCATATCAGCCCAAGATATCCACTGCTAAACATAGGCCTCCCCCAATGACTTAACGATAGGCCGATTGAAAGCGACCTGCATTCGGCGGTTCCCTGCGACCTTAATCAGGTTGTCTGTTCACCTTGTGGACACATCCGTCATCATAATATTCTTTTATTTCTAAATCTTAGAGTGTAATCGTTCCTACGTTTTTACACAGTCATAACATGCACAAAGTAACGCTTTCGCTTCCCGTCAGAGGTAATAAATGGCAATACCAAACACCATTCAATAACATCAATATCAAAGAAATAAAACCGTATTCCATTTGTACAGAGTATTTCTAAAGACACTACTAAATTTAATGTCTAATTGATTGCCAAAACCAAACCAGATTGTCCGTTGAACGAAATTAAAAAAGTTTTCCCGAATCAAATGACAGCCTCTCGAAAAGTTCACGCGAAACTCGTACTTAAAATAACTGAAGCAGTAGGCTTTTTGCTTATATCTGCACACCTACTTTTTATATGCTATCGATGACAACCGAAAGGTATTTTTATCAATGGCGTAGAAGTTACGACATCGGTTCTCGGTTACTTTTTTTCTAAATTTCATTGGAGTATTTTTGTCTTGTTTCATTTTTACTTCGCCTTTGGTTGTTTCCTTTTACATAAAGATATTTACGTCGTATATCCAAAATGAGTATTAAGTTTGTATTGCGTATAATTTTAGTAGCGGTTTCGTAATCAATGTATTTATTTACTTTATTATTCACGAAATATTATTCTTATAAGTAATTATTAAACTAAACAACCTAAAAAGTACTTTAATTTGAGTCAAATATTCCGGGCGATATGTACAGTTTGTATTGTATATAGTGTGTGACCCATTTTTACTTGGTCACATTCCAGCTCTTACACTCCTATGTTCTGGTTAGTCCCAAGAGTATTAAATATTTATACCCACAGTTGATGATTTTTGTGACCGAACCAGCTGTTCAATAATGAATGAAAGGATTAGTAGGCACGGCATTTAAAATTAGTAGCTCCCTAATTTGTACCGGGTCGCAAGTCACGACTCGTAACTTGCTGTCCCTCAACTTTTATGTAATGACTTTTGTTTGCACTTAATTTAATTAATTCTAACCAATTACCATATCCATCACAAGGATTCACAGAAAAATATACATTCGACTCCCTTGAAAGGTCAACGAACTTACAGTGGTTAGAAGTTCTCTAGTCCTGTAACAAAGAGTGCCGATAAATTAAATCAGGACCCCTGTAGCGATACCTGCTTGTTACGTTCGTATAGGTAGTTTAGTAATCAAGTTATATAACTCACACGTGTCAAAATCAGAGAAATAAATACGGTTAATTTAAGTTAGGGGAGTTTGTTTACTCACGTCGCTACTTCTTTGTCTGCCGTCCCGTGTAGCTGGTAGCGGCGTGAGGTGCGCGCCCGCGTTTGTCCTAACACAAAAGATAAATACCACCGTCGAACAAGACGAGTAATTGAGATAAACAGACGTGTATACAACTACATAACTTTCTGCCTTCCGATGTAACGCGTAATAAAATCAACCAAGTTGCTCCACTAACTTACTCTACTCGCTGTTCGTTTTGATTAACGGGCATTATCGTGGGGCACCAAATCCGATTAACCTTTTATAATATCATTAGCTGTTTCCACAGATTATATCAGTCCGTAACTTGAATAGCATCAGCGTATCTGCCGTATCCTAATGGATGTCTAATTCATTTACAGCGTCTTTAATGATGTTTTCTCCAGTGAAACATAAGCTCAAATGAGGCGATTAAGCGTTGAAGATGAACAGGCCGGGCTACGATTATACCGTGCCTGCATCCACCACCTATTACGCGAGTAATAACCGGCCACCGCAATACGAGCGCGGCTACGGACAGCTCACAGCCGGTCCTCTTTACAGTCCCTCCTCCCATCCCCTCTCCAATTACGCAGATGTATACGAGGGTAACAACGACACCACTCTTAGGGCAGAAGAGAGGCACTGGTACATAGAAAACCATAAAAATTTACAACCAAGCTATGAAGTCAGTGTCGATGCCATACCTCAAGATGCCAAAGTTAAGAAAGAGGAGGAGAAGAAAAGTGAAGCTCCAATCCGACGCTCTGAAGCAGGACAGCCACGACAGAGACGGAAAGAGGATCGGTGTTCGTGCGAGTGCTGGCCTAGTACTGACAATAATATCGTGCAAGATAGTACAGGGAACGAGACGACGCGGTCGTTGTCGGGCGTCGACATGGTCGCCTCGTACGGAGTCTATGGGAACCCCAGGGATGACGACAGCTCTGGGTTCGCCCGACTGTCAGAGAAGAGTGCTGTGTATGGACAAGGGAGCGATGCTCCAGTACAGGGTGTGATAGTGAATCAGCAGGGGAATAGTGCGGTGGTACGAGCATCTTCGCCCGTGCAGCCTGCCTGCAGTCGCTGCTGCGGGTGGTCCACCACTGCAGGCAGTGCTCCCGCAGCCAACTCTGAAGATTATTGCTGGATACACTACTGCCGCCCTGCGCTTATAGTCTTACTACTATTATTTTTTCTAGTCTTGTTGGGCGTTTCTACTGGTTTCTTACTGACGAATAACTGTAAGTATCTACATAATATTTTAATAATCCTATTAAGTCCACATTGACCTTGTTGTAAGTGGTGGTAATGACCGCCGCATTGCGGTTCCTTTTTATTTCACTTAGTTTATTTTCTTTCATTAAAATGTTCTATTGCGAGTTATATTTTAACGCTTCCACGATAAAAAAAATACTATTCTAATTAAATATTCACAAAATGAGCAGCATACCGATTCAATTTTTTTATTTAGGCAACCTCTGGCTGACAGATTTGCAGCCATACTACGATCTAAATTCAGTTTGGTCGAAGATAAATAACACAAAACGCACTGTTTTATAGTTTACGATCTACGTTCAAAATAATTGTTCACTCAATTCTATCGATTAAAACAATATTTTCAAACGGGCGTGTCTAGAAATAGTGTCGAAGGCGAATTGAAAACTGCAGTCAATTCCCGCGCTCTCGATTAATTCGATCATTGCTGTCCATAGATAAAGCTCGTCGGCACTACATGTACTCGATTCACGGCTGACGATATTTTAAATTTTATATCCATCAGTCAATGGCTACATTGGGTGCAAAACTAAATTATTTTATCTTTTTTATTGAGACTCTTGCTAGTCAAAGCGCTCCCGCGGCTAAAATTCCGGTACAATCCGGAACTACAGCGCTTACCAATCAAATCTACCAAGCAATTGTTTTGGCTTACTGCGAAACGACTAGAGTACGTTTTATAACTGCTAGTGTTAATCGATGATTTTTTTGTAACAACTACCACTAGTTTCTTCAGATAAAACCCTGTTTAATATTTAGTGCAATAATAAATTTATGCTAACAATTAATTTTGTATTCACAACTGTTCTAATAATAAACCATTCGCTCTAAAATAACGAAATATAAAGTAAACAGTTTTAAATCCGAAGATATTAAAAAGTTTTAAGTATCCGAGTTTTCAGATGTTGAACAAATTATGATTTCGAGACGTAAAGTAAGAAGTTGCACCTGCACTACAATCGCTCGCCGACAGAACCAACTTTCACTGAGTGTCAACAAATATTTCAAAATAACACTATTTAAAAGAAATAACATTTTAACTCGTCGAGTACCGGTTTTGTAGACACAATTATAGAACAATAGGTTGCGGTCACCGGTGACCGCTTGGTGATTGACAGTTTAAGTGACTTACGTTTAAGTATGAAATTATTTTAAAAAGAGTAATTCTAGAATAATTTTATATTTTTCTTTATACATTGTATTAATAACAGTATCAATAATTTAGTTATATCAACACGAAGTTTGAATTTATGTTAAATTCGGAGAAAAATATGACTCTTTTATTTTTATTTTCGTAATATAATATAGTAATATTTCCATATAATACGTTATTGTTCAATGTAAACTCAAGATTGAATCCACGTCATTTAACTTTCATCCTAAATGAGTTCCAACAATAATACAAAGTAAAAAATAAAGGGATGGTGTCCCTAAATTTTAACCTCGATTTAGCTAAATCGAAAGACATATACAGTTATATTGCCGGCTGTATGAATACCGGGTTCCATTCCGTTCCGCTCGTTTTTCTCTCTGGCAGAACATTAATTTTAGTGGCACTCTGGGCGCACACTCACAGTCGGATTTTCAAATTGCGGTGAAACCATTGGAATTAAGGAAGTAGCTTAAATATTCATGGAGCGACAGGATAACGTTCAAACAAGTCACAACTCCGTCTGAAGGTATTGGCGTTTGTGTTAATATTATTGATTGACAGAGTGCAAATATATGTATAGGAAAGTACAAACGACTTCAAAAAGTACAGTTGAACACCTTAACTCTACTTGGAATTTTTCTTACAAAAGCTTTTTGACATCAAAGAGCAGTTTGGTCTCGTCAGCCCTTTAAGGTGCTTTGAAATCCCTAATACAATCATGGTGGGGAGGTCGGATGACGTCACGACACCCAGCCACTTCACCTGCCGTTTCGTTGTTTTAATTGCAAAACATTTCTATAATGACAGGGATATTTTAAAATTACTGTTACAAGTTAGTTTGTACGAATGTTTAAAGGAAAAGTAATATTTTTCGTAAATCTTTGTCATTTGTCGTTCCTCGTTTCCAGCGTTTCAAGTTCTCCAGTTATACCTGTAACATATTGCTTTCATAGCTTTTCATGAAGCAAATTTTATTCTTGTATAAAGTTGGATGTAGAATGTGTGGCGCAAAAAGTTTCTCTCCAACTGAGAGTCGTCGATTAACTTTTAATTAATGAAAGGCAGAGTTTGGTTCGGAAACAGTTTTCTAGATATTGATAAAATCGACGCCAACACTTTGTCTGATAGATAAAATGGAAAAAGTTTAAATTTTGGGAGTTGAAGTTCGGTAAGTGAATAGAAAACTCGATTCATAACGAGTGCCTACTTGTGAATGATTATAACATTAATAGTCATATTCTTAAATTCCATATAAAAAAGAAAACTGGTTAAGTACAACCTTCATAAAGATAAATAAACATCACATTGCTCTTTAAGCAGTAATTAGAATGAACACAGTAAATCTTTGATCAACAATACACGATAGCAATAACTTAACATTATTAACTAATACAACTCACTTAGCAAGTACAGCATCATCATAAGTAGACCAATCAACGCGATTGTTATTTGGCCAAGTTACATACAAGATCCAATAATGTTTCACATATCCGTCTAGTGATATTGGCTTACTATTCTCAGTTATTGACTTTAGAATGGTTCCCGATAAACGGAAATAGGACCATGCCAGTGCCACATAATTGAGACCTAATACTCAGAGTTTATTGGAAACAGTCACTTTGAGTGCCGTATTTACCTGTAATAGGTACATAGGTACATATATGTACGAAATTATAGTTGTTATTGTTCGATAGGGTAGATAGAATAATTGTTGTATTTATTCTTCCATTGTTTGTCGAATAATTTCATTGTAACCATAGATGAATGTGGAAAATCTTGACTTAAGGTACATTGAAATCAGATTTTTTATGGTTCAAGCTGATAAACATAACGATTGATCACCTGACGGTAAACATTTGGCGTCGCCCATGGACACCCGGAACACCAGAGGCATTACAAGTGCATACCGACCATTTGGGAATGAGGAATTTGAGAATAGTTGGGGATTTAGGTATTGAGGAGCGTGGGTTGGGGGGATAATTAGGCCCTAATTAGATAATCAGGTTTTAAATCTTTTTAATATCTTTCACTGAATTGAGTACGATTACCCTGAATCTAACATGTAATTGAAATGATGTGTTTGTAAACACATCCATGATACAATGAAATTGTTGTAGAACGTTATACATTTTATAAGTAAAAAATACTTCAATCTCACGCAGACACAGACCATGACGTAATGAAATTGAAGGCAATTTGCAAATTACAAAAAAGCCCATGTAATACCATTATCGTCAATGAGTTACCAAGTCGTAAGTCAGTCCTCATCAGTCGGTAGTAGATACTTAAACAAAAAGATAAGCCTAACACACTTTATGCTTCCTTTCGTTAAAAATCACTATGCAAATGAGGTAGATTACATGAATATCATTAGGTACTATTATTTAAAATAGGGAGGTTCTTTACAAGCAACCGTTTACATGGGTGGGTTAATACTGAAAGATAAAATATACTGGTTGGGCTCATCGCGGTCATGCTAAAGTTGTCTTTATTATTTTTTATTTTGACTGGCCATTTATTCAGAATTTGGTACAATTTAGTTCATCATATCGCATCGGCCACAAGATGACCAATGTGGAATATATCCTTAATGACTTCAAGGTCGTTCGTTCGGAAGTTACCTGGATTAGAGTTTAGTTGATTATTATTGGGATTATATAGTGTTTACATTCTCTTTTTATATTTAATGGACCGACGACGTTTGACCAGTATCTCGCCTACTGCGGTGGTAAGCGATGATGCGGCCTACAATGGAGCAGGTCGTTAAATAGGTAACCTAATGTACTTACGCGTACAATGTACTTATTTTTTTATTAAAAAGAATCTTTGTGTGTCTGTACTCTCAGTAAATAGTCAGAAACTAGAAAACAAATTATTATGTTTTCGGCTTACTCACGTAATAATTTGACGAGGAACTCGAATAGTTTCAAGCCATGCTAGAGGCTCATATTCATGAGCAGAATTTCGCGACCCGCGACGTTATTACGTTAGTAAGCCGAAAACATAATAATTTATTTAGTATGTCTCACGAAAGTTACAATAGAAAACAAATATTGATGATATATTTTTATGAAAACGCCGGAAGGGCTCAAAATCTGTAACCGTAGCTTGTATGAAACAGTTTGATAATTAGAAAGTTTTTAAAGTCATTAGAAGATTTTTAATAGACAATGGTTATGTAGTGCTTGGTTTACAAGCATCTTGTTATTCTTTTCCACTGAAGTATCTGAAATCAAAACATTGACTTTCAGCCGATAGGTACTGATTACAAAAAACGCCATTTTAGTTATGAAAAAGTCCAAAAGAGAGAGAATAAATATTATTGACATGTTTTCTCTACAAATGATTTTTATGATCATCGTAGTGGGCCGCTTGCCACCACGCGAGATAGTGGTCAAACGTAGGCCAATCAAATATAAAAACATATAATATAAAAATATTTAAAAAAGGAGTTTGTGCATTTAGTCATAAGTCATAAATTACCTTAAGGAAGTCAGCATCACAGAAGGCAAGGCACGAACAATCCTAAAAAAACAATGTAAGTAAATAATGAACGTGGCTCATAAAAGTCGGGAAGATACAAGCCACCTCGTTGCAGGATGATAACCTCATTTGTAATTAAATTAAAATATTTGGCGCCTGCCCCGTAATCTCTTATTAAAACTTTGTGTCTTGGATCTTGATTCACGAAAATGATGTCTGTACTATGTTTGAAATAAATCCTTATGAATTTTCATAAGAATTTTAATTAGATTTTCGTAAAATCTGATTTAGATTTTGATCTAATCTGACTTATATGAGCCGTGACTTGAT